CGCGGCGGGCACGGAGCCGCGCTCAGTTCCGGCGGGCCCGGGGCGGTGCCAGCGCTTCCCGGCCGCGCTTCCGTGCGCCGCGCCCCGTCATGCACGGCGGGCGGATGCGCCGCCATTTTTGCGCTCCCTCTGCCGTGCAGTGACAATAACAACCCGGCCGGGCCGTCCCCCCTCAGGGAGCGCGGGCACAGGCGGAGAGGGGGGAGCGGGGCCCGAGCGGAGCGGCCGCGGGGTGGAGCGGGAGGCGTGAGGGGCGAGGGGCTGGAGCCGAGGCGAGAGAGAGCCGCGCTCAGCCCTCCCCGCTGCTGCTCGGCGGAGACCAGGCGGCCGGAGCAGGAGGGGAGCGCAAGGAGAAGCCGGGGGAGCGGGCAGCCGTGGGGAGTTCTGCGGCTGGAGAGGAGAATTGAAAGGAGCTGCTGAGCGGCGAGAGGCAGGAACGGGAACGCTCCGCTGGGAAAGGTGTGAAAGCAGAAAGGCAGCGACAAACTGCGAGAAGAACCAAAGTAATAAAGAAAAGGGGAAGAGGAGATAAAGTGATTCCTCCGATAAAGAAGAACGCGAAGGAGAAGGAATACGGAAGGACTCCGCTGATGAGAAGGAGGAGTTGAGAGATCCCCCCCAGAGACAGCAAACAGAGACTGACTCTAAAACTCTCCCCCTCTCTTTGTCACACCACAAGGATTTGATGCCCCTCAGCCTGTTCACTTCTGTGTGTTCATGTTTCCCACAGGTTTCTCTTCCCCCAACCCCCCAGCTGCAGCCCAGGAGGTCAGACCTGCCACTGATGGTAACACTAGCAGCAGCTCCTCCTGCAAGAAGAGAAAGTTAAATAACAGCAGCAACAGTAATTCCGAAAAAGAAGAATTCGATTCCATTTCCTCCTGCACCTCTTCTCCTTCCAAAAACACCTCCTCATCATCTTCTTCTGTCATCACCACTTCCTCGTGCTCCTCCTCAGGGGTTGCTTCCTCCAACCATCACCTCCAGAAGAAGCTGCGCTTTGAGGACTCCGTGGATTTTATTGGACTCGATGTGAAGATGGCTGAAGAGTCTTCTTCCTCCTCCTCTCCTGCTGCCTCTTCTCAGCAGCAGCACCAGCAACAGCTTAAAAATAAAAGCCTTTTAATTTCGTCAGTGGCTGTGGGGCACCATGCAAATGGCCTGACCAAAGCTGCCTCCTCTACTGTTTCCAGTTTCGCCAACAGTAAACCTGGCTCTGCCAAGAAATTAGTGATCAAGAACTTTAAAGGTAACAGGCCATAATTTGTCACAACCTGTGGGGAGCTGACAGTCAACTTTGTGTTTTGTTTTCAGCCTGCAAACCGGTTCCTTTCAAACAGCCCCAGGTTTTATGGGGATTGCTTTTCTGTGGTGAACATTGCTATACTTATGTAAAGGGGAATCATGATTTCTGATGTGTGCTTGCCTGGTCATGTACACATCCTGGGCTACACTTTGCTGCTTGGAATTATTTTTCAGACTCCCTTCACTCTGTCTCTTGAGAAGGCCTTACTTTGTATGTTAGGTGGAAGGTTTTAGTACCTAAGTGTGTAAATTGCCTTTGTTTAAACTTTTAACATTTGATACTTTTTTCCTAGTAATCCTGATTCAGAGCTTAGTGTATATTTTAGCCCAGTTTATGATAAGTCTTTGCCTAGAATGTGAGGGTTTTTTTAATTGGCCTTGAATCTGCATGTCTTGTCTCTATCGCTGTTGTCTGTTTATAGGATAATCTGCCTGTGCTTAGTTTTAAATGTTGAAACTAAGGTGATTATCGGGCTATTATGGTGGATTTCCTTTCTGGTTTCCCCTTTGAAGTAGGTAGTTCCGATTTTTGCATAATTTTTTCCTTGTAATGTCCTCACTGTAGTTTCTAATTGTGGTATCTTTTCTCTTAGTTTACTCTTACTTTACAAGTTTACATTATTTTATAAATTCTCTCCAAACATGTGTTTGAGATTTTTGAGTAGTGTTGCTAGAGACCAAGGTAGAGAAATTAAACTTTTCTGATGTGATGCTGCTTTATTTTCTAGTGAACAAAAATACAAATCGGTAGGCAGAAAGCTTAGCTAAAATGCTGCCATTTTTTCCCTATAAAGATGAGGCTGTCATGGGCTTTTTTTATTTCCTGCTTCTTGCTCTCTTCCACAATAGTCCACTACCTTGCTTTCCTGGGTTGTTTCTTTCCCCTCATGCGTTTTGGTTTGTGGAGGGGTAAAAGATATTACCAAAATTAATTTTAAATTTCTAAATACACAAGTGACACAAATGTTCTGTAGACATATTGCATGAGGTAAGGATTAGGACCCACTGTAATGTTTGCAGGAATTCATGATCACGCTGTAATTCTTTGCTTTAAGGTTCCAGTTCTCAAGAATGTTCTCTGCCCATCAAAGCATCATCATTTAATTTGACTGATTATTTTAAAATACAGACCTGTGATGCTGCTCTTTAGTTGCTTGTGCACTGTTATCTTTAAGGGAAGTTAACTTCTCACCTTTAAAATACCTGTTAAATGTCATGGATTGCGTGGTGCTGTGATCATCACTGCTTATGAATTGATGTTTGAACCTTGCTTAAAAAGGATGTCTTTGTATTCTGACAGCCTCGCTTTTTATTTACTCTCAGATGCTAAACTGAATAATAATCTTCAGATTTTTGTCTTTATCTTAGTGTGAGAGCAGTAACATCCTTTACAAGTCATTTACTTTCTAAAATCCATAATCTTGGTGTTGACTGCTGAGCAGCAGTCAGGAAAACAGGCAAGTCCACAGTCAGTTGTCTCTAGATCCAGATCAGGCAGCTGATGTTGGGATCTTGCCAATATTTTAGGGAAATGCTTGGAAGACCAAAATAATTACTTCTCTGTTAGTTATTTCTGAGGAAATCCTAAAGCTGTAGAATTTGTTTTTTACTTTTAGGTGTGTAAAAGTCAATTCTAATAGAGTATAAACTCTGGGCCAATTTTACCTGTTGGTAGCATGAATGTGGATGTGTCATCTTTCTCCTCAGATTTTCTTCTTCTGTCTTCTCCATTTGGGAATGTGCTTCTTAGAATAAAAATGGTCACTTTAGGTAGTTACAAGAATATAAAATTTTTAAATAGTTCTTATATTCTGAGGATGTGACTTGGGGAGTATCTTAGCATGTTGCAAATGCTGTGGTCTTGCTGAAGGTGCTGCAGAGCAGGGACATCTCTAGAAAAGAGTCAGAAGAAATGATGGAGATGGTGTGGAGCTTTTGAACGTTAAAAGAGGCTTAACTCTAAAAAATATCCACTGGCCAAACCCAAGAGAGACATAAATGCATTCCTTTAAAATTGGAAGGTTTTTCATAGGACCATAAAGCCTGTACAATAATTACAGCGTTTCCATGAGTGTTTCTTGAGGAGCTCTTTCCAACTGTTAATACAGAGTAAAATTAATGAGCAGTAAATTAAAAACTGAGATACACAGAAATGTGTATCTTTTAATACATAATTTTTGCCTTTTGTATTCCTTTCTTTTGGCTCTGCTGTCCTGGTAATGAGTATAAGGAAGGTATAGATAATTCTTGCTGCTTTTAGCCCTTCTTGAGCTGCTCAGGCACAGGATTGTGATTTTTGTAAACCACAGGTACTGTTTGGGCTACAGGTGCTGTGGTGTGTATATGAAGAGCAGTGCTGCATTTCTTCAATATGTTACTCTTTCAAATGTGAATAAGATACTGCTTTTACACAAATGCTTTCTTTCCATGTAAGTATAAATTAAAAGCTGGACCATCAGCCCATACATCTTTCCCCTCAAAGCTACATCCTTTTCATTTCTGTAAAAGGTTCTGCTTTATCTAAATACATTCTCAAACTTTATATTTTTTATTTTAAAGATAAACCCAAATTGCCTGAAAACTACACAGATGAAACCTGGCAAAAACTGAAAGAAGCTGTAGAAGCTATCCAGAACAGTACTTCAATTAAATACAATTTAGAAGAGCTCTATCAGGTAAGTGCATTAAGTAAAAGTAATGGGTTAGAGCTTTTCTATTTTGTTCTCAGATTTCTTTGCTTAAAATACTTGATATGATGATAAGAATATGGCATTTTGTTTGATAGCTGCTTTTGTCACTGAAAAACTTGTCACTAAATAGTTCTTCATTTTACAGTCATGAGTTAGAATTTCACAAAACCTAGCATTAAACTCATGTATTTTTTTGCTTGCCAGAAAAGAGCCCAAAGTATGGTTTCCCTTGTAGCAGTTGATGAGAATTAACTAAGGCAAGGAGCTATATTCCCTTTTCTGTTTAGGGGGTTGTGGTGTTTATCTGCTAAAGGAGAAAGGTGAAATCCTAGAAATAGTAGTGTTTAAGAATAAGGTAATTTACATTAAAATACAATTTCTTCTCTAAAGAAAGTATCTCTTCACAATCAAGTATCACAAATCACTTAAAAACTGAAACTTTCTGTTGACTTCCAGTAGGTGAACAGAACACCATTTTTCCTTCATGAATTATATTATTTTGGTTTGATTGTAATTTTCAGGCATTGCAGCATTCTTTTTATTCTAGCAATTGAGAATCCAACTTTATTGCCAGCCACAGCTCTGATTATGTTTTCTTAAATACTTTAGGAAGTGATCAGATTGAACTGCATTTCCTAATGTTTTTTTTAATAAGCTCCACTTCTGCTTTTTCAGCTGAGTGTGCTGAGGAGATTTCCCCCACTCACCTTTTCCCTACTAACGTCACTTGCAGTTTTAGCAGCATAGCAATGGTGCTGCTTTAGTGGGGTATTAGGAAGCACTTTAACTTTTTACTCTACTTCTAAAGCCTTTATTACCTGGTTAGTTATTTAATTTGTTCCTCT